GACCCAGGCAGGGGAGTGGTCTGCTCAGCACCCCTTCACCAGCCGACCCAGTACCCAGCCCAGATGTGGCTCGACGGTGGCCCAAGACTGCACCTCTGGCCTCTGACTTCACAGCTTACTGGATTTGGCTTTCGACCTGGGGACGGAGCCAGCGGCACTTGACCGACAGCTGAGCTATCTGGCTGCCCTAACCAAGTAGGCTAGAGGGTTTTACTGCCACCCTCCTCTGCTCTGTAGGGACCCCAACCTGGTCCACTCTCAGCCCACTCCCCAGACACAGGGAAAACCCCTGGGAAGCAGACAAAGAAGGCTCGGGTTTCACCAAAACAGACTCCGCCCTTCCTCACATACACACCTCGAGGTTGGGCTGCCCAAGCAGAACTGGCACCACCCCCACCCAGGAGTAGGTGTCTGCCCAGGTGAGCAGGTCTGCCAGTTTTGGCCCCCCACAGAGTACGGCCAGGCTTCTCTTACACTCATAAAGTTCCACCCACAGGCACAAACAGGAAGTTGGCCTGTATTGCAGGGAGGCACCAAGGGCTCCCTCCCTCCATGGCACCCAAGGCAGCCTGTGGGAGGGCCGACTGTGATGTCTGCAGGTATCTGGGCCATATTTGCAGCCTGAGTACTTGGGCAGCAGGAGTCTAGTGAATTTAGTCCTTTTTCAAATCCATCCCCAGTAAAGGGATGAAGGACCAAAGCTGCCCCCTCACAGCCAAGTGTGACACTGAATCTGAGGAAAGGGCTGCAAATCCAGCAGGACCCTGCTCTTCCAGGCTCTTCCTGAGCTCTCGGGGAGATTCTTATCATCCAGCTGGGCACAGGCAGAGTACTGATCCCAGCCCACGTAATTTGCCTCAATCCACTTTGGCTGGGTACAGAGACAGTGGCTCCCAAGGACCTTCCACAGGACCCAGGGATTACTGATTGCTTTTTAGGCTCCAGGAACTTCTGAGCATCTTTGGGCTAATTTTGATGTGACTTTAAGACAGGTGTGGAATGGAATGTGTTTGGGTAGGGAGTGGGGCTGGGGGAGTTTTAGTTTCCCTTCCCCCCATCACCTGGTTTGTGCTCTGTGGGGATGTCTGCCAGGAGGGTAGGGCAAGATAGGCAAGTGTATATCTACCCTTCTATCCCCAAATCACAGAGCCCTCACAAAACCCCCCTAATGGAAATCCCTAAAGGATTTCTTGAGAACACACCAGGCATTCTAGGGAGACCAGAATGTGGAACCTACATCCTTTATAGGTAGGATAGACCTGGTGGTGTATGTCTGGAAGGCATGGCTGACATTCAGTGTTACAGACCATGGAAGAGGCCTAGACCAGCCAGCGGCTGGGAATGATTACTGCAGGATTAGGAGGCCTGGCTCCAGCCAGTCTGGGAGAGACCCCCAAGAAGGGAGGCCCTGGAGGAGCTCTCCCCTCCCTTCCCCCAGAGAACAGCTTTGCCCCAGAGTCTGTTTCAGGAGACAATTGTAGCCACAGTTCTCACACACAACAGACCAGAGACCCCAGACCCTTCCACAGAGTTCTGGAAGCTCTCTCTTAGATTGACAGGGAGATCTTGGTAAGGTATACCTGCTTCCAGGAAGCAGGAACCACCCTCACCCCCTTACAAAAGGCTTCTCCCAGCCCCCTTAGAACATCTTGCATTCTCATCACTCTTGCAGGCAAATCTAAAGGGAAACTAGGATTTTAGGATATCAGAGGAAGTGAGATGGGAAAGTGTCATTATTTAGAAATATTCCTGACAGGGTCTCTGGGTAAGTTATTTTACAGTCTACTTCAGGGCTTCTTAAAAATGAACCTCCAGAAATAGCGCACCAGGACTGAGGGGAGAGCAGGGCCTAGGTTGTACACTTCTAAACAAGAGCCCCAGTTCTGACACACACTAACATAAGAGAAATGCTGAGAGGGTACAAGAGGAGGGAAACGGACAGGGAGGCCAGATAAGAATATGCTGAGCTTGAGTCCACAATGAGAAGCCAGTGAGTGGCTTGTGTCACAGAGGGACAGCTGGTCAGGCAAGGCCTTGGCATGTGGCCCAGTGACCCACACCTCTGCCAGGGATCACATGGATATCCTCAGGGAAGATAGGGATAAAGAGGCACCATCCTGTCTTCCCTAGGCCATGAAGAAGTGTAAGGGGGTGTGTACATGAAGACCCTTTAATGCTCCTGCTTTCTGGGGAGCACACAGCTCCGACTACAGGGAAGGGGGGGCATCCAACCCCAATTCAAAGTAAGAAAGTCCAGTAAAGACTGGGGAGACACCTGGTGGACAAACAAGAAAAAGCACAGAAACAAAGGCAATGGAAAAAAAAATTTTTTTTTTTCAGTAAAACTAGAAAAGGCTCTACAAAAAAGTCATGATTGCATCCACTCCAGCAGTCTAAGGCAGCACACCATGCGACCAGTGTCCAGGTGGCAGGCACTCTGGGCTCCCAGCTTCCTTCCATGACTCTCGCCAAGCTTCCACCTTTGAGGTCCTGGTATCACAAAGGCCAGGCACCCAGACCTAATGGTAGTAAGCACCATCGCAGGCTCAAGAGTGGGGAGTAGAGGAGCTTGGTACCTACCATGTCACCCTTGGCTTTGAAAGCCTGGGCTAAAGTTTTGGCAAGAAGTCAGGGGGCCTGACCCCACTGCTTTGAACTCAACCTGCTCATTCAGGGGAACTGACCCCACTGCTTTGAACTCAACCTGCTTGTTCCTACCTCAGGGCCTCTGTATTTACTCTTCCCTCTGCCTGGATCCCTCTTTCTCCAGATGTTCAAATGGCTCAATCCTAGTTCTTGTGGCCCCAGCTCAAATATCAAAGAGACACCATTTCAGACCTTAATTTAAACTAGTCTGTAAGCACTATCACATTACTGTCTTTTTCTTTAGAGCATTTTTCACTATCTAAAATTATGTTTCATGTATATATGTTCACTGCTTGTTTTGTCTCCTCTACCAGATTACAGGTTCTGTGGAAGCAGGGACCTCATCTGTCTTTTCTATGATCTAGAACAAAGTCTGGCACCCAGTGGTTCTCAAATATCTGCTAAACTGAATTCTCTTGCAATGGAACCCTGCTCTAGGCGTGGTCCCTCAGACTGAGAAGGGCCCATAGCTAAGGACCACAAGACAGTGGCAGCCCTAGCAGAGGACTAAGAAAGAGTCTCTACCCCAGCCTGTCCTGCTAGGCTCATTTTAGTGTCCAGCTCTGCAATGCCTTCACCTTGAAGGCTTGGAGAGGTCTGGTTGGCAGGGGTTGGGGGCCTGGCCTGAGCAGGTCTCAGAGATCTGGGTCTGGGACATAGCCCCCTTTTTACCAGAAGAGGGCTTTTTGGCCACCAGCCCATTATCATCCTTGATCTTCTTGAGCCGCGCCTTGCTCTTTGGTGGTATGCAGAAGGTGAGAGAGTTCTTGTTGAATTCAAGTGGGAAGACACCTACGTCTCCATCAAAACGGTTCTTGGACACCTGCAGATACCGTTTGCCTGGCCCGGTTACCAGCTTCCTATCTTGCAGGATCAGAACATTGTCAGCTTCCTGGCTTGCCTGGTGGATAAAGGGCCAAAGGAGGAAGGAGCAATGAGAAGACATGAGAGCAACACAAAGGAAGGCTGAGGGTGCAGGGAAGAGTAGCAAGAATGGAGGAAGGAAAAAGTACTTCCTCTATCACCAAAGCTCTTTGAACTACTGACCACAAAGCTGAGGCCACTTGAGTCTTCCAGCTGCTTGAAAACCTTGTTGCTGTCCCAGATTTTGTACATGCTGTTCCCCCTGCTGCTAACACTTCTGCTCCACAGCTTATCACCTCACTCAGTCCCAGTTCCTTATCAAACGGGTCCCAGTCTAAGTGTCACACTTCATCAGAGAGACCATTCTTGATTCCCGTAAGTAAAGAAGGCACCATCTTCCCACCTCTGTAGAACCTCCCCAGTTCCATGTCTGTTCCATCATGGCACATAGTCTGTGATCCTTGCTCTGTATTCTCTATGCCAGACCTGGCATGTAACAGGCACTCAGTGTATCACTGGAAGCTCCAGGATCAGGCTGGTCCAGCTGCTCAGAAGGCACTCCCATTTATTTGCTTATTTTGACACCTATTGTCTGCCAAAACCCAACCCAACCTTTATTGACACCTCCTCTAGGAAGTCTCCCCAGATGTCCCTGGCTGACTCAAAAGTCTTTTGTCTTTGTTCCCCCAAACACTTACGTCACCTATCATAGCTCTTATCATGCTCAGTTGTAATCAATATTATTCTTTTCACCAATAGAGGATGTAAGTTCCTGGAGGGCAAGGAGGGCAAAGGACCAATAATTATCAGCCTTTGTATTCCTCATGTCATGGCTCCAGAGGCAGCAGCTTCCCATCTCTTCCAGATGGACAGTCAAGAAGATTTAAGGCTCAGTGAGGGCTGTCCATGCTCACAACTGCCTCTTCTACTCTCCATAGTTTGAACTCTTCTAAAGACCACTTACTTTGGCTGAACCAAAAATGGATGCTGTCTGTAGTTCCTTATCATCATCCTCTTTCCGGGGGTGAATGACCAGTGTCACATGGCAGCTACTGTCTGTTGCAAACTTCCGAAAGGCCCCAACGATATAGTCTTGGGCTGCAATCCTGCCCCAACCCCAACAAAGCAAACAGGTTACTAGACACTGAAGGACAAGAACATCTTCATATCTCCCAACAAACACAACCTCGCTCTACTTCCCTCTACCCAAGGACTCACACTTAGGTCCCCGTCCATACTTCTTACTGCCACATCCCAAACCTCCACAGAGATAAAAATACACAAAGAATGGTATGTGCCTATCAGGAAACAAGAGTACAGTGTGCATGTCTAGAAGCCAGCTGCCTGAGAAGACATGTATGTTCAAGTGGGTTACAGCTAGACAAGAGGAGGATGTTACCTGTCTGTGGATAGCTGCTCATGACCCATCATGAATTGCAGATTGTCGATGACCACATGACAAAT